CTCGTATTTAATAATGTTTAATATAATAGCATTTTTACTAATATATCAGTTTTGTGTATTTTGTGCATTTTTCCTCAATGTTTGCCACCCTTTATGAATAATTAAAAGTATAAGATGAGAAGTAGCTGTTTTAGTCTTATTTCAATTGCAATGAGAAATGAGCAACAAAATACCACCACATTTTCTCCTATTTATTACAACGGTGTATTACAACCATCCCATTTACCATCCAACATTCTCAATTATTTCAATTACATTTAGCTAATTAAATGTAATTGTGTTTAGCAGTTATCCTTGTTTTAATACTTCCTCTCTCTGCCTGAAAGAATACAATCCTAACATTTCCCCCCATCAACCAACAGGCAAAGTTGGTTCTTCCAATATCAGAAGATACTCCTTCATAATTTTCCTTTAATTTAGTTGACACTCATGCAAAATCATTGTTTAGTCTCTCTCCTTCTCTTGCTTCACTTTTACAATGATTCTTGCAGCCTGCCCAACCTCATTCTTTCCTCTTCATCCTGTCTGTTTCTAGGTCAAGGAAACACCTTGTACAATATTGCATTCTGACAACAGTACTTGACCAAGGTATAGTCATTGACTGGCAAACCTTCATTTGAGGGACCGACTCTCCAGTCAACATGGCTTCGTCTACAATACACCTTCCTCGCAGCAGCAACATGTCGCACGGTACAAGGTTCTCATGGGGAGAACGGCCTGGAATAAAAAGTTGAATGCTCAGAAAGGAGTTGGGAGAAAATATGGACTAAGTCAGGATCTAGATTACTCTTAAGAATTGTGAAGGACTTGCAAGCTGTTCTTCTTTCCTCAGCTTAGCTGAGCTCAGCCTGCCTAGACAGCACAAATGAAGGATGATTTTCCCACTTAACAACAAAAAAGGATTGCTGGCATATCAATCCTGTTTTGCTAGTATGTTATGCTTTCTTCCTGAGTCTCTCCAGTGAGGCCCAAATGCATTCTGCCTCTTCTAGGCTGCCTTCTGCAAGTCCACAAGGAAAATTATGCAAGGAATGGCCAGGGGAAAAAAAACCCACCTTCAGTACCCTTTTTTGTCATAAAAGTAATCATTTTTATTAGCATGTTTTTCCTCGTAATAACAATATTAACCTAAATTCAGCTTATGTCAGAAAATGTAGCCTCACCGATCTGGACAGACTTCTTTCTGTTCTAATCCTCAATCAATACCTGGCAGTTTTACTGATATATAGGAGTATCTGAATACAGATAAAAACCAAAACCACTTTGACATAGAAAAAGGTAGGTAGTTCTTCATTTGCAACAAGTAAGGGACCTCTATTACCAACTGAAACAATGTCCCCTGGAATTATCTCATCACTGGAAATTGGCCGCCACTTCCTGTTTCTGTAAACCTGAAAAATAAAACAAAAGCAAAATAATACTTTGCAGCCTTGGACAGGGCTGAAGCAGCTCTGGAGAACCAATACCCACCAATGTTAACTTTCATGGTACTTTTAACTAAAAGTACTTGTTAATAAAAAATAATATAAGAGTAGAAAATGGATGGAATGAATATACACTTTCTCCATAAATTTAGCCTGTTACCAGATTTATCCAAAATTTAATCACTGCTTTCCTGGAAGAAACCAATAAATTTACAAAGCAAAGAAAAATGGAAAGAGGTATCTTAGAAGCCAGGGAATACTGGAAGGGGAGAAAAATTTACATATTTGGATGACAAATGAAAAAGATTTTGATAATTAAGCACCTTTCTATCTTAGCTTCTAAGGCTCAGGCCACCCTTCCTGTCTTATTGAAATCACCACATAACCACTCAGCTTTTCCTGACAGCTCCTCTTTCTTAGCAAGCCCACTTAACAAGTACAGCAACTAACTGTTATTCGCATCACCTTGAACAATGAGACCTCCAGTATTCTGGAAGCTAACAGTTGATTAGAATCTCTGTGGATGGGGGGGGGGGGAGGAGGAGGAGGAGGAGGGGGAGAAGGCAGCACTGGAGCCTTCAAGTTTTACTTGAATCTCATCATCTTTTGCCTTTGCTTACCTGGATCATGTAGGGTTTGTTACCCATTTTTCGGATCTCAGACATGTTCCTCATTTGCTGCTGGACAAGGGATGCTTCAAAAGCTACCAGCATGGAAAGAGTGAAGACACTATAGTACCAGTATTCATCCAGGCACCACAGACCCACACAGAATACCTGTGAAAAGCAGAAACAAAGGACTTTATGGATCACACAGTTCGGCAACTTTATGAAAGCTAGGAGCCACAATGAAATATTTTTCAGCAAGAGCAGTAATAAAAAATGGGCAGGCTCCTAGCCATTTAAAAAAAAAAAAAAAGGAGAGAGAGAGAATGGAAGATCTATTGCCTTTGTTAGTTTCCTGTTTTAAAAGGGCAGGAAATGCCCCACTGCATTTTTTTTCTTGCAAAACTGGTTGAAGTACATGACCCAAAATATTTTTGGGGCTGAGTGTGCACTGATGCCTGTTTCCCATCTTTGCACTAGTGTCTATAACACTGATGGCGAACCTTTTAGAGACCGAGTGCCCAAACTGCAACCCAAAACCCACTTATGTATCGTATCGTCGGGTACCGGGTGGCCATGGCCCATTGGGTGGCTGTGGCCCATTGGGTGGGCGTGGCTGTGGTGGTAACGGCAGACTGGGTGGGACTAAAAAATTCAATCAATCAATTCTAACTTTGTGAGATCTTTTTTCCCCGCGAGAAGTTGAAATTGATTGAACCTTTTTTTTTTGCACATGGCGGTGGAAGCCAAAAGCGAAAAGGTTTTATAAAACCCAGCTGAAGACCTAGGACTGGGGTGACGGCATGTGTGCCCACAGAGAGGGCTCTGCGTGCCACCTGTGGCACGCGTGCCATAGGTTCGCCACCACGGGTCTATAATAAAGATGAGGTTATCACAATAATGAAAAACAGAATCAAGAAATCATTAATTTGAATATTACTTTAGTCATAATTTATTATATAAGGGTAAGGAAGGACTCCTTGTCCTCCGGCTCCCTCCCTCCCTCTGGAATAGGAGATAAAACAGTTCTTCCAGCATTCTCAACCAATATGGCTGAGACTTTCTTACTTACTGCTGCAAGTCTAAGAGTACTTGGAGACTCTGAAAAAAATCCCATGTAACTACTATATATTAGAGTATTCATAATTTCTATTGCATGTACGAGGAATAATTGACTTACATTTCTATTTGCGTTTATGGGAATCTACTGTTTTACAGGATTTAGTTTATATGCATCTTGATCAATAAAAGAATATTCAGTTTTTATGTCAATTATAATCCATTTTTCATCAGATAAACTATAAGTAGCAAAAAAGTAAATCAAGATGGTCTGTCTCAATGAAGAAGCAAATTGGGTTAAAGAACAGTTGATTTTCCAGTTTCTTCGCTGAGGATATCTTATCGCTTTGTCAATTTAAGGAACAAACCAAACAGTAACAAAATACACTTGATGTTGTACATTGACATACAGCTTTTGTTACCTGAAAGACGAAGAAAGGAGCTGTTGCTCTCTCTTTGAAGAGTTCCAGGAATTCTGGCACAACCATTTCTGCCCTGTATGAAAAGCAGAATCCTTATTCATTTTAGCAACTCACCAATTCTTGAGTCACTCAATTTGCAAAACTTTCAGTTTTGCTGCATATTACTTTCAGTATTCACAGCTAGCATGGTCAATGTTAAGGGATGCTGGGAGATATGACAACATTATCAGGAGAGTCACAGATTCTCCACCTCTGCTTTGGATTCTGAAGATTTCATTTTCCTTACCCACTTCTCTCTCTCTTCTATTTTTACTTCTGGCTTCATCAAATGTCCTTCAAAGCACAGAACTTTAAAGTTTCAGGCACTACTTAACTGGGACTGCTCCTCAGTTATCATTGTCAGACCACCATTAATGGATAATTAACAATACTTAATAATTAATAGCTAATTAAATTAATAACTACACTAATTAAGGAAATAAGAACTGCTGTTTTAGTTTTCATGACAGGTTCTGAGTTCTTCCTACTGGATGATATGATTGCATTACTGATTTGTTCCTGCAGCCCTTTCTAATCTAATCATGTACATTTGGCTGAAAATTCTACCATTTCTTCAGTCTGTATCAACATTCTGCACGCTGGCTAAGAACAAAAGCAGTTGTAATTCAGGACACTTGGAAAGTGCCAGGTTTAGGAAAGCTGTGGATTATAGCTGTGGAAACTGAAGTTTTTTATTTTTGCTTTGCTTTAGCCTTTAAGACAAGAAAGTGGGTATAAAGGGAGAAATTGTGTTTACAGTTGGCTAAGGAAAGCAGATCTCTGCCTTTGAGAGAGCTTATAGTTGTTTTTTTTAATTACAAAAACATGCCTAATCACAGTGGGCCTTTAAGTAGGAGAAGGTGGCTAGTTATAAGGGGATGGAAGAACGAGGTGAAGAACTTTCTTCCATGAATTCTTGCAGACATACAGGATGGAAAGATGGGCTATTGGGTATGTAAAAAGGCAGGAAAACAAGTAAAAATGGACTCAGGGTTCATACAACTGCATGCAATGGGAGTAAGATGGGAATAAAATTGATCTTGGCAAGAGAGAGAGAGCAATTAAACTCTTAGCTGCCACGTGTCTGTATTCAGCTTAGTTAAGTTTCAAATGATAGGATTGTAAATCAATGTTAGGGGATAAAAAAGCCTTTCGACACATATAATTTAATGTAGATAGATGGAATTGTGGAAAGGCAGCAAATCAGCTTAATAAAGAGGTGCAGTAAGAAACAATAAAACATTTTATTTCTTTGCTATTGTGAATTATTAACTAGATACTTCCCTTCCATATCCATCTGGCAATCAATGCTAGGTATTACATTGCCAACATGCTGTCAATATCTATAGGCTAATTAAGCTATATGTTCAGTAATCGAGAGCAGATATTCCTATCTTAAGAAGTTTATGATAAATATTACAGATGAATAGTGTAGCCCACCTTTGTCCTACTTACTTGTTGGTGCCATATTTTTTTTCTGCTGCTTTGATTTCTTTATCTTCCTGGTAACCACGTGCATTCTGATAATACTGCAGAGGATGCTCCACAGGAAATGCCACAGGAAGGAATTTTTTGCTTTCACTTAACTCACAAAAGTATTTGATTTTTTGAAATTCAAAGGAAAGAACCTCCTGTCCATCTTCTCCCTAGAAGGGATACCCCAAATTAACTTTCTGTGTACATGGAGCCAGTTTGGAGATTTCTACCATTAAGTGGGACACAACATGAGGAAGCTGGCCAACTGGTTTCCCTGCTGCAACAGGCCAAGGCAAACGTAAACACTACAGCAAGGGACACAACCCAGCTGTATTTTTGCAGCTTTAAAAAGAATTAAACTGCTAGAAACCAATGGATTTAATTTTCCTAAAGGCAAATGTTTGTATCTGTTGGCGAGAGAATATTGCTGGAAAAGCGAGGAGATACATTTTCTGTCAAATTTCACCTCCTTTCCATTTATAACTCAGGGTACCACCAGAATATTGTTCCAGTTGTATGGTAGGTACTGCAATTGTAATTTGTTGAGACAAGTGCTGCAGATGGGAAGGAATGTAAGTAAGGTATTCCTTTTCTTAAACTAAGCTCTTTTCTTTGCAAAGAGAATTCAGGATCCAAGCCATTAATTACACATGCCTATCTTGTTTGAGATCAGAACCACATTTCTGTGACACATTTTTTTTCCAACACGAAGTACTAAGTCAGTGGTGGCGAACCTTTTAGAGACTGAGTCCCCAAACTGCAACCCAAACCCACTTATGTATCGCCGGATGCTGGGTGGGCATGGCTATGGTGGAAATGGTAGACTGGATGGGTGTGGCCATAGTGGGCGTGGCCAACTCGATGTTGCTCTGGCGGGTGGGGCAGTGGGCAGGAGGGCATCTTGCTCAGCGGGTGGGGGGGAATGGGGGGAGGCTCTTGAGCCCTGCAGCTCTTCCGAAAGGGGGAGGAGGGGCTGTGCTGGGATTAGGGCTCCTCGTGCCTTCAGCTGCCCGCCTGCACTCTCCTGACAAAGATGCCGCGGCTCCGCTTGCCTGGCAGGGCAGGGGCACACTCGTGCATGGGGACGCACATAGGGCTGCTGCCTCGCTTTCCGTGCCTGCTTCCGCCGAAAGTTGCTCCCTTTATAGCCTCTTGCCTATTCCCAGACTGCGCATGTGCGGAGAGCTGCGCATGTGCAGCTCTGCGGAAAGCTGCACATGCGTGGAGAGGAGGAGGGAGCAGCTCGGCCCAGCAATGGCTCGTATGCCATCAGAGACGGCTCCGCGTACCGCCTGTGGCACGCATGCCATAGGTTCGCCACCACGGTACTAAGTCAAAATGAGCTGTCAAACTTAAGTGAGCTATATAACAAATTGATGAGAAAGGTGAACTGTCCTCGATTTAACACCATTATTTAATTTCTTACCTGATCTCGGTGGAGTGGTACCAGTTCTGCAGAGCCGTTATTTGGAGTTGGCACAACTTTAGCCAAAGTAGCTTTCCTTGGACTGCGCACCTGAACGACAAATAATTTGAACAATTAGTTTTTAGAATTTGGATCAAATCAAGCAATATTTAGAATTTCCTCCATAAAAGAGAGGAAACAGATGCACTTGGGAGTTAAGCTACATTTGCATTAATTGTACTGGTTTTATCTAAACTTGAAACAGGTAGGTTGCAATTAGTGTGTCTGAATAATGCAATATTCAATTTAATGTCAATTGTAAATTGATAACAGACTGTGTTTAACACAATTCTGTTAATACGAGGCTAGCAGTTGCACCTGAGGTTTTAGACATTGCTAATCTTTGTGTGTGCACCAGGGAGAAAAGATGCTGTCAGAAGAAAACAGTACATGTTTTTTAAAAAAAGAGGCTCATTACAATAGAGCAGTGATGGCGAACCTTTTAGAGACCGAGTGCCCAAACTGCAACCCAAAACCCACATATTTATCGCAGGGTGCCAGGTGAGCGTGGCCCACTGGGTGAGTGTGGCTGTGGTGGTCATGGCAGATTGGGTGGATGTGGCCAATGTGGGTGTGATCACCTCGATGTTACTCATGGGGAGGGACGTCTGTGGGGGCCGGGCAGGGTTGGGGGAGATCCAGGGGGTCTCTGGCAGGTGGGGCGGTGGGCAGGAGGCTCGTTCTGCGGGGTGAGGCGAGGTGAGGCAGGGTGGGGGTGCCATTGTCACAGGAAAAGGTGAGGCAGGGGCCGGGGCGGCTGCTGCCTGACACCATCGGCCCCTGCACACAGAGGCCAGTGAGCGCATGGGTGCTGGGATGCATCCGGCCATGTGGGACCTCGACCAGGTAGCGGGTGGCTGGTTGAAGAGGGACGGTTCCCATCTCTGGGGCATGGCGTGCGTGCCCACAGAGAGGGCTCTGAGTGCCGCCTCTGGCACGCGTGCCATAGGTTCGCCACCACTGCAATAGAGCAAAAATTTAAAATAAGGGTTTTACAATTTTTGCTTTCTATAACTACTTTGCAATTTTGTTAACCATAAAGTATGTTTTACTGTATTATTTCATTAATATACATATATAAATTTGTTCAAAGTTTTTCACTATTTCCGCCTATTTCTGCCAAGCTGTAACCAATTACCATACCAACTACCCTACAAATATCACTTTGAATAGTAGAAATTTCAATAATGCAACCATTTTATGGGATTCATTAACCACACTACTTGCAACCTACCTGCACTAGCAAACAAGTCCTCTAATTTCCCTCCTTTGTTCATCAAAAACAGTATCCCCTGGGCCAGGGGTAGGCAACCTTGGCTCTTTTATGACTCGTGGACTTCAACTCCCAGAATTCCTGAGCCAGCCCATGATTCTACAATTGTGTTTCATTTCTGAAATACTCCTCAAAAGATATCCACGAGGCATTAAACAAATGAGCTTCAAGTATTAGCCTATGACTTTATCACATGCACTGTTTGATAAAAAAGAAAGAAAAGAAAGTCTTAATTCTTGCTTTGTGCTTTAAAGAACTTCTTGGTTTAATATTTTGTATTAAACTTAATGGAAGAATGTATAATTCACCTTTGACATTTCTGGAATAATCAGACACAGAACACTGATTAATACTTGAAATGAATGGACTATGACATTGTATCAATTCTAGAAGGCAATTGTGCAAAGCAACATATTTAGATGTTACAGTTTAGTCCTCCCCCTTCCGAGATCATCATCATTCAAGAATTAGTGAAGGTTTCTTCCATTAGGCCTGCATATAATAAGAACTGTACTATCTGGAAAGCCTAAAAGCCTTCTAAACAATGCAGGTGGTTACGGTTGAGAAAATAATTGAGGAAACCACTGAATAACAATAAGAGGCAGAAAGCTATTGTTTCATAATCTTTCTTTGAATCAACCTATCCTAAGATCAAAGTCATTGTTAGCTACATTCTATTCATACTTTGTTAAAGGCAAATGCCCCTAATACCAACAGTTATTTTTTGGTAAATTCAGATTGATTCCAGTTGGTCTGTTGTCCTACTGCTGAAATCTACCAATTCATTTTAACCAATATTGTCCATTCCAATTGGAAATACTTTTCCAGTCTGGGTAGATTTTGCTCTGTGATTTTGAAACTGGGACTTTTTTTTAAAACAAACTGAATATGTACCCATGAATTACAGACTTTTCATTTTCTCTTTCAAAGACAGCGAGTAAATGAAAACCATACAAGGAAAGTACAATAATATCATATGATTCCTGTTAAAGAGGCAGATACAATCAAATTATTTCTGTTCTGACCACCACTGCAACAAACCTTTAGCACAGCAAAATCCAAGCAGCAATTATATTTATATTAACTTAAAGAAAAGCTACAGAAAAAAACATCTACTTTTAAGTCTCTTTGATCAGTTATTCTGTAATTTCCAAACTGGGCACTGAAATATATTAATGTATATTCTGATACTGATGGACTCTGGGAAACTCAACTTTATTCCAGAGGAAATTATGTGTTCCAAGAATGGAAATGTGGGAAATATTCAACGTCCATGAAAGATAAATAAAATATTGAAGAGAATTTTAAAAAGGAAAAGAGATGAGAAATTTTCATTCAGGTGATCAAGTTCAAACAAAAAATGACTGATGTGCTCAGAGATATATTTTCTCTTTTGTTCTGCTTACAGGTGCAAAACCTTAATAGGATCACCACTTGTTTCCTCTGATAAGTAAGCGCTCACATTTGGAAATCAAGAAACCATCTCAACTTTCCAAAATAACTAGTACTGTTGGGAGGGGGAGGGAAATCTCAAGCCTATTTTCCCTGGAGAAAGCCACACTAGTTTACAAAAACATGAAAAATGTCAAATAAAACTATCATGACTAAAACTAACACCTCTTTCAAAAAATACAACCATTAAAAAAGCTTTATTTTTTAAAAAAAAGAATACAGGCAATCTAAAATATCCCATCCATATCAGTAAGTTAAAAGAATCTCAATTAGATTTACTTCCAATTCAACGAAAGCCAGATTACATTAATTAAAATTCAAATGACCACTTCCTACCTATAGCATTCTGTTCACCTCCCTAGATTCCAAAATAAACAATTGATGCATGCAGAATAAACTGCCTTTAAATACAAAAAAACAAACCTATTCACTTTAACTTGAACACATCAAAACTAGTCAGGACATTAACAATGATTAAACAAGACTCAGAAAAGCAAACGCCTCAGCAAAGTGTGCCTGTTTTGTTTGCCCAACAAAGCCTTGTCAAGTAAGAAGCACATACATGTATAATTCTGTATGTTTATTTTTGTCATAGTTATGTAGTGTATATTGGAGATGGTGACCCTTCGAGAGCTGTATGCAACAAAATTTCATTTTAATGTATGCCGATTAGTGTACATTCAAAGTGACAATAAAGTTATTATTCTATTCTTATTCTATACAGAAGCAAAATCCCAGTGATTCCACCAAGCTTTACAGATGTTCTCTGTTTCACAGTATTTGGACTTAAGACTCGGTTTCACTCCTGATACTCGTTAAGAGGGGAGTGCAAAGTCTGGCCACCTTATCAGTTAAGTCCAGAGCTCCTGTGCAAGGAACCCCCGAAACACACCTGAGCACCTACACCTTCTTCAAGAAAGTAAAGCGTGTGCAGGAGGCTTCTCCCCACTTTCCCTGATCTGATCTTAGAAGCCCCAGGCAGAGAAAGCTATGCCAGCCTATGCAAAGGTAATACGCTCACTCACCCACCCGCCACCATTCCGCCCCTCTCCCGCGTGGCTTTTGGGTCCCCCGCTCCCCTCCCCGGCCGGCGACTGACCCAACAGCAGTAGAGCAAGCAGTGGACGTTGACGCTCCACAGGCCGGCTAAGGCCGTGAGAAGGTGGACGACCCCAATGGCGGCGAGGAAAAGAAGCGCAGCTTCAGGGCTCTCGGTGCCGGCGGCTGACCCCCAAGCCCAGGCGGAGGCGCTTGCCCCCCAAACCCACAGCCAGAGCGGGTAGAGTAAGCAAAAGGGCAACACCGTCCCCCATAACAGGCGCGACCGCCTCCGATACGGAATCACGTCTTGCACCAAGTCGTCCCCCGGCCCCGGCCCGGGACTGGCCCCCGCTGTTGCCACCATCCTTTTTTCCGGCCGCCGCCGTCGCCGGCTCGCTTCGGTCTCGCTTCTTCCACTTCCGGGGTAGGCGCCAATGAAGCGCGTTGAGCGAGCATGCTCCCGGCCTGGGCCGTCAAGGTACGCATGCGTCGCCCCTTCGCACCGCCCACTGGAGCCAACGCTTCAACCCTCACACCCCTTTATGAATGAGCTATGCACGTGGCTCTCTCCGCGAAGCGACGGCGTCGTTCCAACTACGCGTGCGCGAAAGCGTGAGGCGTTTTCTCTAGTGTCCTGATGACTGTATTTTAAAGCTCCACCACCCCCCGCCGCGCCTCGTTCAAACATGCGCAGAAGAGAGCCGGTGCTGGGCAGGGAGCATGCGTGTTGGGGACAAGGAAGAAAGAAGTGTGGTTTTCCGGAGCCGAGTGTGGCATGTGAGTGTGATATCTTTAAAGCTCTGCTCCAAAGCCCTTTATGTGATCTAAGGGAAAACTCCATTTTTTCTTCCTTCCTCGGTCTTTAACTTGCATCTGCAGAGGTTTCAATCTATAATACTTACTGTCAGGATCAGATTAATTATTTCATATAATCCCGTGACCTGTTGCCTGCAGGTACCAACCTGATCGGTTTGGGAAGCCAGGAGAGGGGCAGACGGCGACAGTTTAGTTGCGGATGTCCAGTAGTTGCTACTTTATACGTGATGATAGAGTGTCGTCACAAAGTAGCAGCTTTGTTGGATCTCCTTTTAAAGTTGTCTCAGTTGGTGACCTTGACAACCCATGGTAGTAAATGGTGGGCGGTGATGTAGGAAAACGTACGCAATAATACATCTGTTAACTTTGAAACTCTTCAAGTTACAAGGTTGTGTAATAGCCTCTGTGTGTGTGTGTGAGAGAGAGAGAGAGAGAGAGAGGAGGAGGAAAATCAAGCTTTGAAGTCCCAAGGGAGGGGAAACCAGTTGTATTCTCTTTTGGTGGGTAAATTGGGCTAGCTACTGAACAGTATTTAAATCAGTTAGAAACAGCCACTTCCGTGTATTTTTCATAATGCTGCAAAGGTACATAAAACATTTTTGCATTTCTTTTTATCGTTATCTGTCTCTGGTGGAAAGGCAAGATGTACACTCAGGATTTATTTATTTTTTAACTTGTCTCCCCTCTCAACAGGCAGGCAGCTCTGGAAGTAACCTTGCGGTACTGCCACAAAGAAACCGAGCAATATGGCCGGTGTGTTGCTGCTAACCCTTCTTCCTGGCAGCAGGACTGTCACCAACTCAAACTTGATATGGCCAAATGTACATCATCCCAGTAAGTTCTCTTGGGCTGGAGTGCTGTTTTGCCTTCGTGGGGGTGTCAGCTTTGATTAACTGAGGAAGGTTTGCTCCATTATCTGCCTGTAGAGTTCATAGCATTTCTGTGTGTAGCTTTTACTAGGTTCCTGCATTTGTTCTTTGTCCATTTTTTTCTTATTTATAAATCTATGGGACTTTTTTACAGCCCAATTGTTCAGAAGATTCGCCAAGATTGTGCTGAGCCATTTACTGCATTCGAGGAGTGCCTGAAGATAAATCAGAGTTCTTCAATTAAATGTTCTGAACACCTCCAAAAGTTTCTCCTCTGTGCTGACCAAGTGAAATTGAATACATAAGGTTGGTGCCCCTAAATGTTTGCATTAGGCATTGGTATATGTGTGTATGTGTAAATAAAATAATATAAATTCATTTATTGCATGTCTTGCCCACATTGTAGCAGCCATTTGACATAATGTGGTAAGAAAAAGCTGAAATAACTGACATATATGTCACACACGCAATAACAATATCTTGTTCCTCTACAAGGGACACAAGAGTCAAAAATATAATTGAACAATTATTGTTCTCTTGCCCCAAGACCAAATTGTATCACTGTGAAACTTGAGAGGTGGTGGTTGGGCCAAAAAGACAGAGGCATTCATTTTTACAAATAAAATGTCTCCTGCATCTATTTGTCTAAACTTCCATCAGCTGGAGTTTATTGTCACCTTATTCTCAATTCTGCACATAACATGGAAATTTTTGCTATAGTGAATTTCTTATAATGGGTGGGAAGTAGTAGCTGATGAACTTAATTGCATTCACTAACTGGGCAAATTCATAAGAGATTGATAAAATTAACATTGCACTCTTTATATTGATTGATTGATAATTATGTGCCATCAAGTTGTTTTTGACTCCTAGTGATCAAAATGATAGATTTTTTTCCCCATGATCCCTAACCTGTTCTTTCAAATCTCCCAATGATGCAGTCATTGCTGCTGTAACTGAGTCCATCCACCAGCAGGTGATCGTCCTCTTTCATCCCACCTTTCCCAGCTTTTCAGACCACATAAGGTGTCTGAAGTAAGATACTCTCTAGAAGATAATTAGTGAGCTGGCTTAAGTTCCCTAATTGAACTGTGAAGCTTGGTGGACTCTTAATTTAGAAAATAATACTTTATTCATGACTAGACCAGCAGCTGTTTACAAGCCAGTTTGCAAAATGAGTGAAATACTGTGACAATTGTTTGTGTCGTTATCTTGCATTTGGAAATATGCTCATTTTGGATCCTGGATGATATAACTTACTAATGAATTTTGGAAGGGCAATATTTCATTTTGGGCGTATTTTCTTCTCTCTCCCTTTTTTTCACAATCCAGCCTTTTGATTTCTTCAGCAGAAACCTTGCTATTTCTTGAAGGGGCATTACGATTAAAGATTTGACCAACAATGGCAGCAGCTTCTCACCTATCATGAAGATATCCTTCCCAGACTTCAGCATCCTTCATTTATCTGCAGTGATCCAAGATACCGCAGCTTGGCACATTGAAATTTAGTTGTGTTGACATGACAATGGAATCTCATCTTTACTTACACACCCAGGTGTCTGGGGTAGTTATTCCATTATGTTTGGAACTTTTGCAGGCACTATACAGTAAATTGCAAAGATCCCGAGTAATCTTTTCTGACCCAATTTTGCAGACAGAATTGCAATGTTCCATGGTTCAAAGCAGAATGATCCAGGTAGATTAATGAACAGAAGAAAAAAGGAATCTAAATTGCCATGGAACTTCTCTGAAAATATTTTGATGTTCTCTCATGGACTGCGAGACTTGCCTCAGGGTATCCTGTTTATGCCCAGCTAATGGGCAGCGCCTCGGCAACTTTGACTTGAAAAATCTTGAACAAGGTCAGACTTAATTTCTTAATTGGAGAGTCACTATATATGACCATAGCTGTATACCAGATTGGGAAGAAAAAAAAGTCCACCCATATAAATTATTTTTTTATTGTTACCAAGAAAACTACATGTTCAAGACTACTTGGTCACTAGGATACAAACTTGATTCAGAGGAAACATGAATAGTGTACTTTTATTCCATTTCTGGTCAGTAGAGGGCACTCTGCAAACATCAGAATGTTCTTGATTCTTTATGACTATATTGTAAAAAATGACAAGAAAAATGACACTAATGAAGTTCAGCGGTTGTCAGTCTTATGTATCCAGTGTTTCTGACTGGATTTGTATTCATAACTCTGAATATTATTGGAGTGATGTTTGTAGAATCTTATATGTGTCAATGCATTGTTTATATCACTTAGCCAATGGGATACGAGTTTTGGGAAAAATGACCCAGTATTCTGAATTGTCATGATAGGGCAGGGGAAATTATTTGTAAGGAGGCATGAATAAATGTGCAAGAATGAGAAGAGTCAAATGAAGACCTAATGTTGAATGGCCATGGTGACTATTTGATGAGTACCCTCTTAGAAAAGATTTAAGCCTGTCATTCCATATGCAGGCATGGAAAAGTAGAGATTGTAAAGCTAAAAGCATGATTGATTTGATTGTTTATGATGGCAGATTGAAATAATTAGTGAATGATATAGGGTGCTGAGAGATTCTGAATATGAGATAGACCATTATCTAGTAGAATTAAGTATAGATCTTAGAAAATGGATAACGAAGAAAAAAAATAAGAAGCAAGAGTGAAAGTGGAGCAACTGAGGGAAGAGATGTTACAGAGTTGCAGAGAAGTGTATGGAGCTACATTAATAAAGAATATAGAAATAAATGTATGATGGAATGAAATTTTAGAAGAAAAACTGGAAGAAAAAAATGCAAGAGGGAGAATAATTGCTGCAAAAGTTGAGGATGTGGAATTCTGGGAGTTGAAGTCCACATGCCTTAAAATTGTCAAGGTTGAGAAACACTGGTTTAGAGAAAGCATAAGAGGAAGGGGATGGGCTTGGATATTCTTTTCTGCTTATGGAGTTTGGTTGCTGAATGCTTAAGATCAGTAGATGATGGAAGAAAAGCATGCATGAAAATAGAATGCTTGGTGAATGGTTTAACAGAGAATATGACAAATATGAATGTTCCTTTATTTAGCTGATCTATTCATGGATAATTGTATAAAAAGTGTAGTGACTTTAGAGCTATGCTAGTTGGGGGAGTGAGTGTACATGCAGGTTTGTAAGTAGCTGATGCCATGTTATTGGCCAAGGATAGAATGATTTGCAGCAGATTGTAGGATGCAGTAGGAACTATGGATCTGAACATTAATTATCAACGTCAACCTCACTAAGTTGATCAGGCCCAAAAGTTAATTTCACAGGAAGGCTAAAATTATTTTCATCCAGCTTGGCTGACTAACAGAGTCTTGAAAACCTGAGTATGTTGTACTTCCTCCACCTTCTTTTCTTATACTTCTTCATATACTATGAATTAGGGATGCACCTGCTTGAGCCGCTTCCAAAGATAATCTCATTTCTGAGGACTTAAAAGATGTTTCAGCCCCTTTTGCCCAGGTAAGGCTTCTTGCATATTTTCATCAAGATCATCTCACTTACCAAGAATGAATGACCATCAAATTTCAAAAGAAATACATAGGTGAGGAGAAGAGAAGGTGAAGAGAAAAGGGAAAATCCAAGACATTTGTGGTTGGATTGAATTAATGAATTCCCCCAAAAGAGTGAAATTTTAAGAACATATTATGTGAAGCTTTATGGAAGCAAGGATAATTTGCAAGGGTTGAAAGATGTGAAGAAGTACAATTGGTGTTAAATGTAAACTGAACATAGTTTCATTTTTTTATTCTCATGCTTTTGGCTAATATTTCCTATTCCTTTTCTGCCTTCTACCGTGTTTCTCCGAAAATAAGACCGGGTCTTATATTAATTTTTGCTCCAAAAGACGCACTAGGGCTTATTTTCCGGTTAGCTTTTATTTTCAGGGAAATATTGTATTAAGTGCATTCGTCTGGCTGGCGATCTTCACTGGGACTTATTTTTGGTGTGGGGTTTATATTACGAGCATCCTAAAAAAATCATGGTAGGGCTTATTTTCCGGTTGGGTCTTATTTTCGGGGAAACACGGTATATAATGCGGCTTATCCTGGAAGGAAATATAGGTAGTTCTTGCTAACTGATTGCCTTTTTCAGTCATAATTTTAAACAGTCACTAAACAGGGCAGTCATTAATTGACTCTTGTCTATTAACACAACTACCTCCAAGCTGGAGTCCTTCAGATTTGTGGAGAATGCAGTATCTGCCAGCGAAATAAGAACTGGCTAGCTGGGAGTTTTGGCATTTAAGGGTGGGATGGGTCCTTAAAAGTAGGAAGCCATTTGTTCTGTTCCCTTGGTTTCAAAGGCATTTGTTGTTGTTGTTAGTTGCGAAGTCGTGTCCGACCCATCGCGACCCCATGGACAACGTTCCTCCAGGCCTTCTTGTCCTCTACTGTCTTCTGGAGTCCATTTAAGCTCACGCCTACTGCTTTAGTGACTCCATCCAGTCACCTCATTCTCTGTCGTCCCCTTCTTCTATTGCCCTCAATCTTTCCCAGCATTAGGCTATTCTCCAGTGAGTCCTTCCTTCTCATTAGGTGGCCAAAGTACTTGAGTTTCAACTTCAGGATCTGGCTTTCTAAAGAGCAATAAGGGTTGATCTCCTTTAGGACTGACCACTTTGATCGCCTTGTAGTCCAGGGGACTCGTAGGAGTCTTCTCCAGCATCATAGTTCAAAGGCCTCAATTCTTTTGCGCTCGGCCTTTTTTATGGTCCAACGTTCACAGCCATACATTGCAACTGGGAAAACCATGGCCTTGACTATACATACTTTTGTTGGCAGGGTGATGGCTCTCCTTTTTAGTATGTTGTCTAGATTTGCCATAGCTTCTCTCCCCAGGAGCAAGCGACTTTTAATTTCTTGGCTGCAGTCCCCATCTGTGGTGATCTTGTAGCCCAGGAAGATAAAATCTGTCACTACCTCCATTTCTTCCCCATCTATTTGCCAGGAATTGAGAGGGACGGATGCCATGATCTTGGTTTTCTTAATGTTGAGTTTCAAGCCAACTTTTGCACTCTCCTTCTTCACCCACATCAAGAGGCTCTTTAGTTCCCCTTCACTTTCTGCCATTAGAGTGGTATCATCTGCATATCTTTTCAAAGGCATATGATCCCCATTTACCATTACCAGCCTCTGGGAAGTAGCCTCCAATACATTAAAAACTTTTGGGGAAAACAGTCATGCTGAAGGAGCAGGTTTCTTAGGCTCTTACTTCACCTCCATTTCCTCCCTGGAGGAACATAAATCACATGAAAGCTAATTAATGAATTTCTCTAAATGGGCGGTGGTGTTAATAGGCATTAGAGCAGAAGAGTGACTTGTTTTATGTCCTCCCTCTTCCTCTGGGTCAACTCCCCACCCCCATCCCACAACATCAGACCAGGACGGGAATATTGCCTTGAACCACTGCACTCTTGAATTGCCATCTCCTGCCAAGCAACTTGTCAGCTTTGCCTTAATTCCTCATGCAGAAAAATGTCCTCATTTTACACACCGTTTCTTGTTTGCCGTTGAGAATGTCCATCGATCATCACAAGGCCCTTTGGTGTCAAAGTCCTCTTTGCTGGTGAGGGAAGGCTTTTTTAAAAAATCCACAGAGAGGCTAGTGTAGGGAACTGCATTCCATTTGTGTCCGCACATGCACACACAGGTGCACACACATCAATACACAATGGCTTGCCTCCAAGAAAAGTCCTATATAGCCAATACCTATGAGAGAGTGAGTGGAGGAGGTGGATGGTGCAAAGAGTCAATGCCAAACATTTGAAGGTTTGCAGCATTTTTAAAATGGCTTCTTTGTACATTAGTGAACGAATGAACTCCTCATAGTAAAGGAGCAAATGCACACACCCGTTCATGTAACTGGTTGTGAAGTATGTGAACATACACATACTGAACATACGTTCTTGGTGAGAATTCAGATGCCTGCATGTCCTGATTCTAAAGGTGTGGGTGTGGGTGGGTGGGGGAATTAATTGAAAAAGGCTTGACAAAGTGCCCATGGATTTCTTTATGTTTATGGGCCCTAATTTTGTGAGCAATAATAAGCACAATCAGCACCAGATTCTATTTAGATATTCTACACTGGACCCTTCCAGAATCTCAAACTTGAGTAAGTTATCAGAAGATACCATGTCCTGACAGCGGTCAGTGGTGGACCTCAGATTTTCTCCTCCGTGTAGGTCTGCAGATTTCCTTCTCTTTCTCAGTAGTAGACATAAGCCAGCCATTCTAAACACATTTAATTCAATTTGTTTTCAATCTTTGTTAAAAATAAAATGAGCATTTTCAATGGTGAAGATGATATTCTGGAGTGCTCCTCTCTGGCTATGAGCCATGGTGGCGCAGTGGTTAGAATGCAGTACTGCAGGCTACTTCTGCTGACTACTGGCTGCCTGCAGTTTGGCAGTTCGATTCTCACCAGATATTAACTAAGGTATGTAGGAAGCACATCACATTAGTAATGGGGGACTTTAATTACCTTGACATCAACTGGGAGACAAACTCTGCACTAAGTGGAAGATCAGATTCCTGACAAACCTAGCAGACAACTTTGTTTCCCAAAAAGTAGAGAAGGGAACTAGGGGATCAGCCATATTGGACCTAATTCTCACTAATCGAGATGAAATAATAGAATGTGTTGAAGCCACAGGAACCTTGGGGGGGGGGAGTGATCATACAGTATTGGAATTCAACATCCAAACACAAGCAATAGAACACCGTCAAACTAGAGTCTTGGACTTTAAGAGAGCTAATTTCAATAAACAGGGAGCTTGGAAAGGATTCCGTGGATGGGAATCCTCAAGGGGAAAACAATTCAAGAAGCTTGGGAAATTTTGAAAAGTGAGATAATAAAAGCCCAATCTAGCACAATACCAACGAAGAAGAAAAATAACAGCTCTCAAAAGAAATCAGCATGGCTGCATAAAGAACTCTCTGACAAATTGAAAGACAAAAAAGACAAGTATAAAAAGTGGGAAGAGGGGCACATAACTAAAACAGAATATCAGCAAATAGCTCGAGCCTGCAAAGATGAAAAAGAAAGCTAAGGTTGAAAATGAACTAAGGCTTGTGACCAAAGTCAAAAATAACAACAACAACAAAAAAGCTTCTTTCAACATGTAAAAAACAAGAAAAAAGTTAAGGAAATGATTGGTTCATTAGTGGGAGAAAGTGGCAAGAAGGTGACAAACAACAGGGAGAAAGCAGAACCACTTAACTCATTTTTTGTATCCGTCTTTACACAAAGGGAAAAAACAGTCCAAGCTATCAAAAACAGTACCATAAAAAACAGAAACACAAGTTAAGATGGTGAGCACCTGTCCACCCTAGACGAGTTCAAATCACCAGGACCAGATGGATTATACCCCAAGATTCTGAAGGAATTGACAGATGTGATCTCAGAACCACTGAACTATATATTTCAAAAATCTTGGAGCACTGGGGAACTATCAGAGGACTGGAAGATGTAGTTCCCATCTTCAAAAAAGGAAAAAAATGGATCCAGGAAATTACAGACCTATCAGCCTGACCTCAATACCTGGGAAGATTCTGGAAAAGATAATCAAGCAACAAATCAGCGAACACCTAGAGGCAAACAAAGTCA